TTTTAGTTGAATTTAGTTAATTTAGGGACCAATAATGGCTGTGCTTAGGTCAAATCTGTCCAACACTGCCCCACCTACCATGTGTCTACTCAAGAGCACACCTAGACAAGAGACCCCGGGGGCAGAGTTTATGTGCAATGACCACTTATCAGCTGCCACATCTGTTTCAAGAACATGGTATTTAGTTCACTACAGTTATCAACTTAACAGTGCAATCTTAAAACACTTTCCCAGGAGTGAGCCCCACTGAATAGACAGGAGCAGAATTCTGAAAAGACCTGCTTAGGATTCCTCGCTACAGCTTGTCATTCTCATAACTGGCGCAAGGCAAGGAAGACTCTCCCAGCCCCCTCCGCGGATAGATCCACTCGCATGAACTCTGAAGTAGCAGATGGAAGCCAGAAGGGAGTTGCTGCAGGTTCTGCTTCCAGGTGCTTTGACAATACTATTGCACTGCTAGCTGGAAGGAACAGTAGTGCAATGAAGTCAGAGCGCTCGTCAGCAGAGAGATACTTCTGGAGAGGTTGGTACCAGGACTCTGCTGCTTAAAACACAAGAGGGACCATCAACTGTGGTATGAACAAGAAAGAAGCTTCAGTCAGTAGGTTCAAAACACCCCTCAAAAAAAGAAAAACCAGATGTTTCTATTTTTAAACCCAAGTGCCTGGGGGGGGGGGGAACCCATGCAGATCAGATACCCATGCCTCTTTCCACCAGGCCATTTGAAACTCCTCCACACGCTACTCCACAGGGCCCCCCAGTATGGCGCTTATGGGTACCATAGCACCTGCTGAAACATTTCTTGGAGCCCACCAAGTGTTTTTAGAAAGTGGCTGGGCCCAGGTGGGCTTATGACTGGCTGTGCAGGGAACCTTGTTTCAGCACCCCCACACTACTGGTCTTATTCTCACCCTTTACCAGGGTACTTTTTAAGTTTCCCTCTTCTCCCTTGCGCTTGGGTTTCCAGTGTGCGGCTCCACCTCCTATGGCGCTCATTTTGCAGCTGCACCCAGCACCCAATGTCAGAATTCCAAAGGAACCCACAGGCTGAAAAAGGTTGGGGGGCCCTGCCATATTGCATTACTCTTAAAACTGCATTGACCTGCAAAACTGGCTTAGTTTAGGCCTGGCTCTAAAGTCCACCTCAGCCAGAGTCGAGTGGTCTAGCTCAAAGGCATTTCCTTTAACAGAAGGCTACTTTGGAGACTAGGAGAAGCCCGTTCCTGACCGTAGATTCCTCTTTGGCATTGCTGTGCACAAGCTGCAGGCAAGCTAGCACAGCGTGCAGGCACAGAGTGAAAGCGCACATTTTTGGGTGTATCATGTACCCACTTGTTAGGCCTGTAAACAGCCACCCACCTACTCACCAGGAGCAAGCAAAAATGACCTGCAAGTCAACAGGCTGAGAAACTTTTACCGACTGGAAGAGTGGATTCTCCTTTATGTTTCTGAAGTGCTAATGTGAGAGCTTGCATCCAAACGAGTAACAAATCTGAAGGCTGGCAACTCGTGGGACTATTTGCCAGACTTGCTGTACATGCATCAGGATGCCCACAACTGTTGGGCATAGCGCTCATCAGCCCGATGCAAGTTGATATGTGCCCACTCTAGCAATGAGAAGGCTGGGGGGCGGGGGCTAGAAACATTCAGGAAAAAATGAAGATTTTCAGGTTTTCCAACAGAAAATACATGGGGTTTTTTTTGGCGAGGACTAAACAAAATTCCTATGAAATACTTTCTGTTTTGGAATGAATAAAATTCTTTTTAGGAATAGGCACTACACACTGTAAATGTGCAGCATAAAAATTTTATGCAAGATGATATACGGAATGATATAGTGATATCTTATATAGATGATAACAAATATATAACATATTTCCAAGGGTATGTTTACTGTTTATACATGAATAATTTGGGCAAAAATTAATATGCCTTAATGTGTTTAGTGATAACCCATTATTAAAGAGTTCAGTGTTAGAAAGTTTAACTTGATAGCTACAAAATTCCAGTAGTCCCATTACTACTGGACAAGACTGTTTCTCTTTATATTTTTTTAACTGCAAAATCTGTTTACTCATTTCAACTGTTACTTCTTCATATCTCTCTGCTGGCAAGAATTAAGATATACCTACTTAGGTGGCACAGGGAGTAGAACATGGCAGCTCTCGCCCTAATACTGGGTATAAATTGCAATTCTGCTTGTAGAAAAGAATTTGTACTTTTAAATTCTGAAGATAATAATTCTGAAAATGATAATTTATAGTTTTATCTGATTTTGCATGCTAATTAATTAATGTATGATACATTTTATGTTCCTAAAGCAGTAGAAACTTTGGGCTTCATAGGAAAATAAGTATTGTGTACATCTCACCCAGATATATAAAGCATTCCATACCCCTGTTCGAGACATTAACACATCTCTAACAGACACACAACAGTAAAATAGCATACTTCCTTTCCAGTTGTATTTTAGCTGACTGGGCAAGGCCATCCGGAACAATGCAGTGAGGCGAACAGCATTGCTGGCCAATGCCCTTTTAACATTGCACTGCTTTTTGTGCAGGTTTGCTAGTAGTACAACACAAAAAGGGCAGTGGACAGACGCTTCTCGCCATCCAGAAGGCAGCAGAACTAAAACACCTCAGAAGAATATTCTTGGGGTCAATCCCTTCCCCACCCTCCAGAAGAAAAGCAGATAATTCCAAAGCTCAGAAGAATGTCATATGAAGGCTTGCAAAATGTTCAAAGAATAGGAAGAAACCCAACAAAGATGCCATTTATATACAGAGTAGGATCTAATTTCAGGACTCCGATATTTGGGGGGGAGGGGGCTAAAGAGTCCCAGTGCTTAATTTAACACACACATCCACATAAGAGCCATCTGCAAGACACTAACTTTAAAAGCAGAAGAACTGAGGGCTGTGAACCAGCAGGCCAACTCCTCCAGTAGTAATCTCAAGCCAAGATCTTCTGCTTAGGGTGTCTCATGGCCCAGACGCTGCATAGATGAAAACCAGCAATTCTCTTTACACTTCCCTAAGAAGGACACCACATAAGAGACTCCAAAACTGGAAGCAACATGTAATATTCAGAAGCCCATTTCATGTTTTATTACGGTTTCATGGTACCAAAATCTGGAGCAATTCCAGACCAGATTTTACTTATGGCTCAAGATAAATTGGCCGGGCAAACTGCCATGAAGGACTTGCTCAGAAAAAGCTGTATTACTTTGTTAGGTCTTGTGTTCTTTTCATTCTTTAATCTGAATAATGTTATAGTATGTTTTAACACCCTCAGCATATTACTAAGTAACTACAGCATCTTACATAGCAGTTCTGAACTCCTGAAAAGGATTCCAAGCCCAAGGCTGCTTGGTCTCCTTATGTCACTGAACAGCGAAAGCAACATTTGAGATGATTCCATGGAATGACAGTTCCACATCTCTTGCAGCTTCATGGGCATGGGGGATCCTGAGAGACATCGGGACCCTGTTTGGGGATATGATTTAGGGGCAATGCTCCCTCTAAGCTGTGCAGTCTTGTGAGCAAAAATTCTACTGTGTGAGTTACTGGCATTAAAGTTTGTGAGCAAGCAATTTGGCTACTGCATAAATTAGTTTGCTCTGAAGCCACCCTTCCTGTGTTAAGACAAAAATGTGTGAGCTGGAGGCTAAAAAACTGTGAGCTAACTCACACTAACTCAGCTTAGAGGGAACACTGCTTAGGGGACCCGCTGTCCCACAGATTAAGACTATTGTGACAACTGGAATATGATATGTTACTTAGACCTAAATTTAAAAAAAAAAACTTAGGCTGGAAAAATTTAAAGCAAGTTATATCAAGAAAGCATTGTTTACCTTTTGGCACAAACCTGCATACATAAGAAATCTATCTACTTCTTCCAGAACTAGGAAGTTCGAAAAAAGCAAATAGGAATTTCTTCAGATGCAAACATTTTGCAGGCGCCTAAATGAGAGGAAAACATGAAGAATCAGTATGCCAAGGTAAGGCCTCATGTATATAAACTAATTAATACACGTTATGAACTATTAAAGCCTGTGAACAGTGTCAATGATCCTGATCACTACAGAAAGTGACCTTGCCAACTGAAGTAAATGCATTGGTTCAGGTATTCTCCAAATGCATCCTCCGTACACAGGAAGTAAACAGAGCAGGCCAGCAGCATATAACTGATTTACCCTGAACTGGTCCAAACTAGTTCTCCCTCATTTTTGCTTAATTCAATACCAGCATGGAATGGAC